AAGAATTGTTTAAATAATGAATTTCAGTTTCAAGCTTTCACACTCAACAACTCTAACACGCGATAACAAGTTTCAAACTTTCCTTTAACCCGGTTGGAAAGGAATTATATACTAAACAAAACTAAGCAACGCAGCTTACTAAACACCACAAATCATAGAATAACAGCATGACTAAGAAAAGAAAACCAACGGTACCCAAACCGGATTAACCCAGTTTAAAACTGGATAATTTATTCTTTTGAAGACTATTATAAAGTCTAAGAAAGAAATAATAAAACACAAAAAAGTCGAAAGACAAACCCATACCAAAAACATTTTGATTTTTGAAAAAAGGACACAACCAACGAAACATAAGAAAAACCACCATAAACCCAACATAAAATGTTATCACATAACAGGACCTCTCACAGAAACCGCACGAAATCATACTCCCACTCCTGGCCTAACCCACCAGAGAGGACGTCCTGAGCATGCTCTATAGCCGGCCTAACCCACCGCGCTACATCCACGCTTTGTGACCACACTCCTATTTTTAATAAGAGGTACTCAAGGGTGAGTAACTCTTCAAAATAACCGAACTAAAACAAAACGCTTTTGTGAAAACAACTAACCAAAATCATAACTAAAAACTGAACTAATAAAAATTTTATAAAATGTAAACTATACCTTGCAGTATATAGATCAGCACACAACAACAAAGACGAACATCCAAAGACAAAATGACCCCACTACACTTAAAAAAGAATGGCCAACCACAAACCGATATGCCGTCCACAATCACAAACTCAAAGGATTTAGAGTACGTTGACTTCGCAGAAAAAGACTTCATTGAACTAGACCAATGACCACCTCGATGTTCAAGTATACGTACAGATCCGAGTTACAAGGCATTCCCTCCACGCACAATCTCCACGCCATTCCCAGACGAGGTCGAACACAAAAGAAGTTCTCTACATAAAACAGAAAAACCCATCATAGCAAACCATTCTGAAATCAGATTGATTTCATTGCGAAACACCATCGTTGTCATAAGAAGACACAACGACTGATGCCCTCATTCCAGCGTCCTGGAACTTCTCTAACAAGAGAAACCGGACAAGAGTACGATGTTCGCCAAATACCAACGTCCATCATCCATCCTTTAAATTGCAGAAAGATAATTCTAAAAAACTCTATAAAACCCGGATGGGTGGAACCTGATCTAAACTATATTTTATGATTGGATAAATTAGATATTTTACCACTCTAAAGTATTTAATATTAACCAATCATGATCCATCTAACTAACAACCCACTTATTTGTAAGTGCTGAAATTACTTGTAATTTCAGCACCAGAGAGATTTGAATTTAACTTAGAAATTAGTTGCCTCTCCAAGAGAACTTCAGCAGCCGCAATAAACCAGTATACCCTAGATCTATTGAGCCTAGCAGAGACTAGTTAAACACCCTGAGACTAGATAGTATAAGAGTAAGATTAGGATCGGTATTAGACTAAAAAGTTGCACGAATCTATCCGGCCGAAAATAAGATAGCGTGACGAGCAGACGGTGTACCCTATCCGAAATTACTCTATGAGTTAACCACATCGGTCCTAACTCAGAAGGTAGACATTGACACCCATTTTTGAATACTTCTCATTGCTAGGCAAACAACAATATAAAATTTGAAAAGGAAGTTTTGCCGGTGGAAATCAATACAGCTATCTTTTTTGTTACGACTTTAACTAAAGTTGAAAACTTGTGGGTTTTCGTTCTCTTAAAATAGTTTTCGTCTTTTCAACTAGTCGGTTTTGGTTAGAAAATGTTGTCTGAAAGATATTGATGTCTTGATTTTGAAATCATGGAAGAGTTATATCTTTATTTGTATTTCATAAAACCAGTGTTCACCGCTTAATCTACTGTTACGAAAATTCTACGAATACTGTTGTGAAAATTCTACGAATTTTCGCCTGTTACGAATTGTCGCCTCAGGTCATAAAACTATACGAATTGTCGCCTCACGTCATAGGTTTGAAATTAGCACATTTTGGAGATTTCGATCTAACTAACGCGGGCTCTTAGTTGAACAATTTTCAGGCAAGTAAATCATAACCAAAGTGGAAGCTGGTAACTGAATTGCTCGAAGAAATTTTAACTAGAGTAAATTTTGTAATTGACCTTGTATGTTAGGGGCAGACTTAACATCATAACAAAGAAAATTTCATTTTTTGAATTTTTTTCATATGGTGCCTTTTAGAATAAATGCAAGAATTCTAAAATGCACTCAGAGTTTTGTCCTGATACGACCTGTTTTTTTTGGCTTAAAGTGAATCCATTTTCTTGTGCTTTAAGGCAGTGCCGGAAAACGCAAGCCTCTAATTAGCTTCTTAAATGGATTATAGTTCAATAAAATTTGAGAAAAAAACTTTCATAAAATAATTTCGAAAAATAGTAACATTATATTCCATTTTTAATCGATTATGATCAATTCTTTTGGAAATTTATGGAGACTGACACAGGAGCGGATTTAGGGGGGGGGAGGCGGGGATTGGACGCTTCTCCCCCCTCCCCCCCCCCCCCCCCCCCCCTCAGGGATTCGACCCCCTGCCGACCCAAAGGGTCCCCCCTTTGTACTATTTTGAGATATCCATATTTGGTGACGGACCCTAAAAATTTTGTAAAGGCGCCTTTGGCGCCAATATATACTTACTTTAAGGGGGGAGCGCGCGCCAAAAAAAAACGCAAGTGACTAAAAACGCCTTTTTTCACCTGTTTTTCAAAATTTTCCCTGCGCACAAAATTTGACCAAAACAGGGTCTTTTTAGTGCTATGGGAGAGCTCGGAAAATCAATTCGAGACGACCTAAAAAAAATCGACAAAAGTTTCGAACATTTTTGAAAATCCCCCCCCCCCCCCCCCCCCCTCGAGAAAATCCTAGATCCGCCCCCCTGGACTGACAATAAAAATCCATTATAATCTATTATATTCTCTTTTTACTGAGTGAGAGTGGTTTCAGGCCAGAACAATGGTGACCGTGTTTGTAAACTTAATTTAGTTCGGAACTAATCTATTTGAGGTTATGGTACATCAGTCCAATGAACATGACAGTTTTGAGGTCACCACAAAAACTTCTCCTTCTCTTGCTTAAATTGATTTCGCAACACCATATTGAAGTTTTCAAATATCGGAAGTACGCAAATATCGTTGAACGCCGGTTCATTGCGTTTGTAAGAAAGTTACTTAACAAAAATTTAACCGTGTTAGCTTGATTATTTTTGCATGGGTTAACACTGGAATTCACCCATATCAACATAGCCAGAAAAAAGTTATAACATAGGGCCAAATTGTATAATTTTGGAGCATAACACCCAATGGCAACAGCAAAAGGCTAGAATTTACCTCCTGAGATTTTTTATACTGAGTCGGTTTCGCCATAATGAGTTTTTGTGAGTTTTGATGAGTTTCAAGACATATGAGAGGTTTAGGAATACATCTTCCAGAGGGAGACTACAAAAAATCATCCGAATTGTAGTTTTCTGCTATTTTGCTTGATATTCTCAAAATTTTTTTGGGATAGTATAAAGATTCTTTCCGGAGTAGTAATTTTGCTTACAATTATGACTTCTCAATTTGCTTCAATTTCGAGATATGATGTTTCTTATGACAATTTTTTGAAAATTTAAAAAAGTTTTTCTCAAAAAGTAGACGCTGTGTTGCGGTGGTGTTTAAGTAATTCTAATGGTTGATAATGTGGCCTTCAAATTTGAATGCTCAAACAATTTTTGTTGCCGAAATAAAACAGCTTTTATAATTTTTCAAAAAGTTCCAAAAACTTTATTTAAAAAACTGTCAAGTTGCTTAATATTGGCCGTCGATAAAATGTTCAAATTAGAAGAAATAATTGAAAAGAGCAATGGAAAGTCTATACGAACTTTAGCACGCAATTTATATCCGGCCTTCACTGCAAAAACTGATTTTTCAGACTAAAAGTTCAAAGTAAAAATAGCAGACGAAAAAATACTCAAAACTGGCAGATTGCTCTTTTTAAATATTTCTTTCTGTTCCAACTTTTTGCTACTAATTATAGCTTTTTACAAATTTATCTGACAAAGTCTTAAGTTTTTGATTTATAATTTTGAATTTGACATAGTGAGATGGAGTTAAAATCGCAATCAATTTTTCAAAATTGCATTAGAACCGACAATCAATGCAAAACGATTGCGCTTTCTCAGAGAGTTGCATTTTTGCCTTATTTCAAGAACAGAACTGAAAAAACTTTTTCATTCAACAACGATTTGCAATGTAATTTTTCAGCGCAAAAAGGCCGACAAAAAGCAAACGCAAAACTTCAAACAAAGATTTTAATTTTGTTTAGTTTAGTTTTGAAGGTCAGAATTATTTCAGAAAACTAATACGTAACACGAAGAAAACTAATAAGGGAGCGTAGCGATTAGGATGTGTGCCTATTATAATTAGTAGCCAAAAGTTCGGGCAGACAAAATTAATTAAAAAGAGCAATTGACCTATTTTCGAGAAATTTTGCATGCAAAATCTAATTTTTCAGTCCGATTTTGTGTCTCAAGGTTGTATGAAAAAAGAAATTGCATGCAAAAATCTGTCAAAATGGTACGATTGCTCTTTTTAATTATTTCTGTCTGTCCGAACTTTTTGCAACTCTCTATAGCATGCGATGTTTGCTTCAACTGGGTGTGCTTTCAGACGAAAATAAATTATCTTAAAAATTTCAAATACTTTCGAAAACCACTTAGTATGCTATGAGAATCAAATTTTCACTTTTGCCTAATTCAAAACTAGGCCAAGTACATACGTCATTCAAAATTGAAAACTTGCGTGAGCACAACGCGCAATAGCAAATCTTCATCAATTTACATTCTTTTATATGGGCATGCTAATCGGCTCACATGCTAAAAGGCCTGTGCCCGTTCGATAAATTTGTTAAAATTTATACATTCGAACTTCTTTCAACGTTTTTATGGGCAAATTTCTATAAATTTTTGCAGAATCCGAAAAACAATGATTAAACTGCACTTACGGAGCTACCAACGCGAGGATTTGGTTTCCCAAGCCAAGTTTGAGGATGACCTAGATGCTGTTCCTGAGTCGTGCAAAAGTTGGGGGAAAATCAAGAAAATTGTCACTTCTTACTTTTGCCATGTCAAAGAATACGACTTGAACCGATTCGATTTGAAGACCAAATTGCTATTTTTGAATCGAATTGCTGATTATCTCGAGAAGCATAAGGACAACGAAATCAAATTTTGGCAACTTTTGAACCGACTGGCGCTAGTTGAATTAATATATGGGTACATGCTTAACCAGAAGGAGAGCTATTTTGCAGAACCGATGCACTCGAACTTAAATGAGCTCTATGGGTTGCTAATCAACGGTTCGGAAAGATGCAAGGAAATCCGAGACAAGATTATAACTATGGGTCTCCATAGGTTCATTATACGAGACATGGAGCATCCCTCGATCCAGGGTCGTGTTCTGAAATACAACGGGAACCGAAGTTCATTTGAACTTACACGTTGCGATGAAGCTCTCGACACGCTGTTTACAGTTATCTACAATGTTCTACGCTACAACCCAGATTCGCAGAAGACGATTCGTAACGAAGGCATCTGTCGGATCTGCATGTTGTACCTCGGAAGTGCGTTCAATATCCCAGGAGTGAAAGCGATTGCTCTTTTAGTGTTGTCTTTATCAGCTGATTTGGACTCAGAACAGGAAATAGGTACAAGAGTGATAGATGGATTCTCTAAAACAATACACATAAGAGCCCTCGAATAATTCTATTTGGTTTAAAGTCTCAACACCCAATGAAAACTTTGGTACAATTTACGGCATCCCCTTTCGGTCGACTGACCCAAATATTTGTGATCCAAAGTGAAAGTATACTGGTTTTGACGCGATTTTCACACGAAGCAGCGCGTTTTTCTGGTCAAAACTTTCCAGAAGTTGCTCAAAAGCGGCATTTTTGAAAAATTTTCAAAACTTGACTGCGGCGCAAAAAATTTTGTCAAATAATGGTCATAACGGTGTTTTGGAGAGCTCGGAAAACAATTTAGTCGACCTAGAAAAAGGTTAACAAAAATTTTGAAAGTTTTTTTTCAAAAGTCCAACACCGAGATCAGCTCCCGATTGACCATGTGTTAGCACTCTATTTGTAGCACTTTTTAGCACTCTATTTCAATTTTTTATGGAAAATTTGAATACTGGGTTTTGAATTTAAATCAAAAATCGCGTCTCGCTTCCCTTAAGTTTTTATCAAAAAGTGATTTCTTTTCAATTATAAGTTTTTCAGATTTTTCCAAACGTGCCCTTCTATCAATTTTGTATTGCGAACTAGTTCAAGCCACGGAATGTAACATCAAGTACGTAGTTTGCAACCTTCTTGAAAACGCGGTCAAAACAGCCTCAAGGCGAAATGAAGAAGGCTATACAGTCGAAGAACTACTAGACTGCTTAACACGACTCGCCAAAAACCGAAACAATGCCACCGAGTTGTTAAAATGCAACATTGTTAAAATATGCTGCAAAATTCTCAACGAGGACTCGGAAGAGCTAGAAGTAAAAAGAAGTCTTTGTCTAATTTGGTCGCTGAGCTTCCTCGACGAAGGTCAAAAATCTCTGAAAAAGCATGAAATGATTTTGGAAAAGATTAAAAGCTTGATCGAGAGTGAAAACACTGATATTTCAAGCGCTGCTAAAGGTATTTTGTGGGAACTAGGGCTGATCGAATGTTCGAGATGTGAAGAAAGCTCCGAAGAGGTCAACAACAACCAGTTGGACGATGATGCTTCGACTCATGTTATGATAAGTTACTGCTGGAAACAACAACCAATCGCTTTGAAGTTGTTTGAGAGATTGAAGAACAATGGTAAAAAGGTGTGGATCGATATTGAAAAAATGGAGGGCGATTCGTTGGAAAAAATGGCGGATGCAGTCGAAAATTCAGAATTCGTTGTTTGCTGTTTTTCAGAAGATTACAGCAATAGCCAAGCCTGTAGGTCAGAAGCGACTTATGCTTACAAGCAGAAGAAAAATATCGCATTTGTGAAAACGCAACCTGATTTTGAACCCAAAGGGTGGCTGGGATTAATTTTGGGAGCTGAAATTTATTACCAGTTGTGCAGTGATTCGGAGTTTGAGACAAATTTTCCAAAATTGATAAGATTTATTGAAGGAAAAAACACGAGTTTTGAAAATAATGACGAAACGGATTCGGCTAAAGGGATCTATTTTTGAAAAAATAAATACATTTGGTAATTTTGCGACTATCTGGGTTGCGATACAATATGATTTAACACCCAAATTTTAATAGGAAAACTGAAAGCTGGTTAAAATTAAAAATCAATTATTCTCAAAGATCACCAAATCACAGAAACAACGGCAAAATCGCCAAATTTTTATTTGACCGAAACTGAATAAAGTAGATGAAATAATGCGTGAGGCGACAACTTGTTACAGGTGACAATTCGTAACAGGCAAGAACTCGTACAACAATGAAGCGGGGAACACTAATTCACGCGCAATATTCCCCTCATACCGGATGTAAGCGCAGCGGAGCGAAGCGGAGCGAAGCGGAGCAAGCGTATTGTACTTGCCAATGCCTTGTTATGAATAATCGCCTGCTACGATTTATCGCTCACGAATTGTTGCCCTAATAAAAATAATTACCTCTCACAATTTGTGGGTAATTTTATTTAGACGGGGTTTCGAAAATAGATCCAAAAATAGTTCCAACTCGGAAAACTTCAAATGTGGAGGAACCCGGTTACATAATATGGACAAGAGCCGAAGTACAAAACTGGCTTCAGTTTATTGACCCCGAAAACAGCAACAATTTTGGTAACATGAAAAACCTGACTGGACAAAATCTCCAGGAGCTGAAAATCTGGCAATCAGAGGCACCTCAGTTCTTCCTTGAATTTTGTCGAAACAGTCTCGAAATAAATAAGCCGAAAAGTTTGCTTGATCTCAGTGTTGCATTGAGAGCATTACAATAAATTGATGCAAATTGTGGAAAATATTTGTTTGAGCTACATAGCGACATATATAAATAGTGAATTGATCAATCTATCTTAGTGTTTTAAATAGGCTGCCAGCAGAAGCTGACAAGCGTTTCGCGGTTTTCCAAAGGAGCGGCCGGTTTTCAAAAAAATCTCAAGAAATCTTGTTGTTACAGTAATAGCTCGACCTGGAGCTTATATCTGAAGCCCTTATTTGCCATAACTACCATCCTTGAGAAACCCAAAAATTATTGGGAAAAAATAGAAAACACTATCCTTGGATCCTTTTTGGAAGGTTTCGATTAAGTTTTTCTGACGCACTATTTGATTGCGTGTTTGATACGCTATGGTGGCAAAATTAATTTTGAACAGAAGATTTTATTGGTAAGCTGATCGTAAAACTTTTTATTGGTGAGCTGATTTTTTCATAAACTCAGAGACCTATATCTACATGAGACTGATTTCTGTTCAAAAGTTTTTTTGGTAAAAACTGGGCGGAATTTTTTTTGACGACTAACTAGTTTGTTTCATTTTAAGAATTCATCAATAAAAATCCTTGGTCTTTATGTTTTAGATCTACATCAACAAAAACGGGTTATGCAAAGTTTTAGGTTTCAATCGGATAAAAAATATGGATTCTGATTCTCCAAATTGCTCTCAAATGGCACCTGCAAACAGGCTTGCAACCTCACGGTTACCATTCGAATCGACGCTACCAAAATTGTGCATTTATTATACACAGGTTTTTCCAACCCCTTTGCAGGTTTTTCAAACCAGACAACAAAAAAGCTTGTCTAACAAGTAAAACTTTTTGATAAGCAAGTAGCGCAGAACGTTTCGTCTACATTCCTGGTGTACTTTTTTTTCTAAAACACTTTTGTAATAAGCATAACTGCTTTCATCTTTCGAGCTGTCGAGTGACGTCATCTTCGAGGCAGTTAATCAACAATACAGTCCTACCTCAAAGTTTGATCAGATTTTATTTTATAGAAAAAAAAACTGTGCAAGTGAAAATTAATTTGAAAAACAAATTTACTTCAACGTTTGTGCGATATAACAAAAATGAGAGAAATGTAAGAAATATTACGATTTTTGATAAGAAAAAACAATGTACCAGAAAAGTTTTACCAATCGATCATTACCCTGAATATAATTATTTCCAATTGCTATCGTGATCTATCTTTTTTCAAAAAAAGCGAAACACATGACAACTCAGACTCATAAATGAAACGCGAATTCTTGTAACCAAACGTTGTTTGTTTAGATTTGTTCCTAGATTTTGAATTCGACAACTCAGACTCATAAATGAAACGCGAATTCTTGTAACCAAACGTTGTTTGTTTAGATTTGTTCCTAGATTTTGAATTCGACAAGGCTCTGTTATAAGCTCACTTATCTCAATTCGGGTGATAAACTTACAATAGAAGGCGATATTAGATTCAGTACGAATGGTTTCGATTTTTTTGTAAAGTTGTAAAGATATATCTCTTTAACAGAACAGATTTTGTGTTTGTTTTTAATTTCTGCAAACTTTTTTTTCTTTTGAATGAACCTTATTCTTTTTTGCAACCATGCAGTTTTTTAGTTCCTTTTCAGACGTATTTAAGCCGTATTTAAGACATCATATTAGATGCAAGGTTGAATAACTGACTGAAAAAAATTTCGCGAAGAACCCTGATATAAAATTTAATTTCAACTCATTTTTGTTTGGTGTTAATACTTTCAATCTTTTTTGAAGCTCAATTATAGGTGTTTTAAAGCTTTGATCTAATTGAGTGCCTATGTGCTTAAAAGTTGGCTTTTCTTCGATTAGTTGATCTTTATTTTTCGAAGCCGTCGAATCATTTTTTGTTGAAAACTTTTTGCAAATTGTTTTATCCTGATTTCAAGTCAGTTTTTTTTGTTGAACCAACCAAAATTTTTCTCCAAATCACACAAATATTCATAAAAATTTCTGCTATAGATGATTGTGTGGTTATTTCAGTATTTTAACAACCATTAGGAAGGTCGTTTCAATATATTAGAAACAAAAATAGTCCGTGAACAGAGCCCTGGGGCACTCCGTATTTAAATGTCTCCGTTCCGTATTGAATTCCACTCCGTATTTAAAGCCGTTTTCAAATTTTTTAACAGAATTTTAAGCTTTTATGGTATTTTTATTATGACCAACGAAGCTCTAAAAAGACTTTTTGGTAATGCTTTAAAAATCTGAATTTAGTTGAACAAATTCTTTGCGCCAATAAATCTTAATTTTGAGACACATCTAAGAAAAGAAAATCATTCCCTCAATACTCAATAATTTAATTCAATTCTTATCCATCTTACATCAAATTAATTTTTTTACCCCGCCCGACAAACACCCCTACTAGCTGAAGAGGCCCTCACTCCTCTGATTCAGCATTTTCACTTGGTCGCTCCAACCCATGCTCCAAACTTTCGATTCGGAGGAGCGATGAGCTGGAAACTCTGGCCATCAGCTGCTATGGCCTCTATTTCTTTGGCTAGTCGCTGTACGAATCCAGGAAACATGGTGTTACCTCCAGACAGGATGATGTTGGAATAGAGATCCGCCTTGAGGTCAGCAGGAGCAGAAGAGATGGCTTTCACAATCTAAAAAGCGTATCAATCCTTAAGTCTGTTTTAAAGCATCATTAAGACTCATAATTTATTATAATAATGAGCAAAATAAATTTGTTGTCAAGAGAAGAGCATTTCGGTAATTATTTACAAAACTATCCAACAAAATCCCATCTTGGGGGAACGCCAAATACTCTGTATTGCTGTCTTGATAAATTTAAGCTAAATGTTTTGTAGTATTAAAAACGTTTTTAAGGGATTTTAGATTGAGTAAAATTTCTAGCAACTCAGCATATAGAAGAATGGTATCGAAACGAAGAAGGCTAGAAATTTGTCCAATGCAAGGCGTTCATCAATGGTGATATGAGAATAAAATGGGGCGAGGTGTGCGATTTGCGTTGAAACCGAGGAATTAAAACATGCCTAAAGTATTTGACTGAAATTTCGCGGTCGAGCAGGTCCAGTCGGCAAATTCCAATTCGACACAGCGACAAAAAAAATGAAAATTTAAAAAATTTTGTTGACCTTTTTTTTAGATCGACAAAATTGATTTTCCGAGCTCAAATTAATTTCTCTTCTACTAAAAAGACCCTGTTTTTGCACAAAAAACAGGTCAAAAAATGCGTTTGTAAGCTCTTTTTGGAAATCGCGTTTTTTCGGCGCGCACTACCCCCTAAAAATTAGCATATGGCGCCTTAAGAAAAATTTTAGGGTCCATCACCAAAAATGAATATCTCAAATAGTACAAAGGGGAAAACTTTGGGTCGGCAGGGGTTCAAATCTCTGAAGAGTAGGTGTCCGCCCCCAACCCTAAATTCAAGACAAGACAATAAGCGTTGTCCAACGGCAATTGTACAATTTTGAGAGCGCCGATTCAAATGGTCACCATGAGGCTACAAGCTTTTTTGCAGATGCCATTTGAAGGCATTCGTTAGGTCAAAATTTGATTTTTTTCGAATGAACTCTGAAATTTTTTTATTGATGAGAGTTGAAATTATTTTTATGCGGATCAAAACGATATAGAAAATGATTTTTATGTTATGATTTTTCTTGAAACAAATTAGTTATTCGTCATAAAAAACTCAACCCAGTTTTTACGCTTTTGCTCAAACTTTTGCTCAAAAACCGCTTTTGTGCAGGTATAGTCTCTAAGTTTATGAGCAGGGCTGTCTAATTTAATTGCTGGGCCAAAGCGAAAGCAAAAAAAGCAAAAAAAAACACTTCAAACAAATTTGAAAAAATATCTGCAATGCTTTCATTTGCGTCACAGCATGCGCACACGCACTCGCATAAAGCATATAAAGCATAACTCTCCGCTTACGCGTTAATAGCGCGAAATATATCACGCGTTAATTGTCCCAAATTGGCCAAAATGGCAATCTTTAAACCCCCATAACTTTACGAAAAATGATCACAGGTAAAATATCTTTTCAAATTTGAGCTCAGGACAACAATAACTTTCGAATGATATAAAAAAATCCGTCAAAAATGGCTAGTTAAAAAGTCGAAGTTTGTCTGAAGAAAAAAAAACCCACCCCGAGCACAAACATTCCGTTATTTTCGTATCGAAAGTCGGAACAAAAATCAGGGGTGACCAAAAAACGAGTTTGGACGGGGCTGAAATCTTTGGAATCTCAAGCCGGCATTTTCCACTTACAAAAAGTAAGCAGTCACACAAAAGATATTTTTTGATAGAGCAAGCTCTATTTTTTACGGATTTGCACAAGTTGTTTATTGAAAAAAGATTTTATATTTACTAATGACAAGACACTTGCTTGCTCTCCAAACTGTTCACAAAAACCAAGAGATTGAAAATTGAAATTGAACACAAATTGGAAAGCTTCAGTCAAGTACAAAATGATCAAGACTGCTCGTATCAGGGCAGAGCCCTGAATGCTCCGACCGCCTTTTAAGGTCTATGAAGCAGTAAGAAAATGAAAAAATTACAAATAATTTAAAAAAAAAAACGAATTTTTTTTTCAAACTTGAGATTTCGTGAAAATCATTCCCTGCACGCCATATAGAGAACAAAGTGATCGACTTCGCTCTTGGCAACAAATCAATTATAGCAAATAGGCATCCTCATCCTTCAAACAATTTGGAACAATTTCCTAGACCGATCAGAACGTCGCTTACTTGTTAACAGCGCGAAATGTATCCTCTGTTAATTGTCCTAATTGGCCGAAATTGCACTCTTCAAACCCTCATAACTTTATGAACTATCTTTTTGAGTTTAAGCTCAGGATAACAATATCTTTTAAATGATATAAGAAAGTTCCGTCAAAAATGGCTTCTCAGAAATTGAAATTAGAAATTTGTCTAAAGAAAAAAACCACGCCGAGCTCATATGTTCCATTAATTTCATTCGAAAGTCGGAACAATTATATAGTCACAGGCAAACTTGCAAGAAAAAAGCACTCAAAAACCTTACATAGTCAAACTCAGTGTTTATACAGAAACATTTGAAAGAATGTCACAAAATTTCCTGAAGTGATATCATTTGGCTGAAAAAACTTTTGTAATGTTGGAATTGTATGACTTAATCAAATTCTAAAGACACATTTTTTGTGGGTCGAAGTTTACTTTGGTCAAAAAAACCTATTGATCAAACACGGCGATTTTGTTTTCCTCAGTCAGTCCGAGACAAAAAAAATTGTTGGTCGATTTTTTCCCGAATCGAAAATTTTACTCTGTCGAACTCATCCGAAAGCTTTTTACTCACTCAAGCATCCACAATTTCCTTTTGTAGTTCGCAAATATTTTGTGCTCGAGTCAAAAGTCAAAATTTCTTCGGTCGAAAATATTGATTGGTCGAAAAGCAGCGAAATACTTGTCTTGGGTTGAGGCGGACAAAGCATGCTATATTGTAGTTGAGTAGTTTAAGAATCTTTTTTTATAAGAGCTTTTTATATTTCATACACAATCGGCCTCTAAAAACAGAGAAAAGGTACCAGATTCTGAATTGGGTCATACTCTTTCGCTGGTCCCCACCCCTGATAACTGAACAAAATTTCAGGCGCCGTAAAGATCTCGTCAGTGAGAACGATTCTGTCGCCGGTCGGAGTGTTGAAGTTGGTTCTTCTGGCGACTTCATTGGTGAAGTCTTCTGCCACGTAACAAATGGCTTCTTTGATTGTGTCTGTTTCTTGGGTAGCTCCTGAGCGCAGTCCCATCAGGCTAGCCAGTGCCTCTGGAAAAGCAACGATGAGTCACAGTTTCAAGCGAAAGTGACTTAATACACCGACGGCTCTGCTTAAGTGCCAATAATTTTGCCAATAATTATAAGTACCCGAGAATGATTCTCTCTTTCTGCATGTCCACCAATGCTGATAATTAGAAAGTTTTTTTTTACAAAGCTTATAAGGCAAGTTAAATTGATGTATCATAATTTCGTTACAGATAAAAAAATAAGTTTAAGGGTAGCAAATAAATATGAATACCAATCCTTGAGTCTCTATTGACAACAGGGGCGGAAACTAAATTACTTACTTTAAATATTATGTGAGACATGACCCTAGAAAAATTTAAAAAGCTCAAACACTTTTCTCAAGGTCAAACTTTTTTCTCAACGTCAAACACATGTCTCAAAGTCACCTGACACATCTTGGCCTCCAATCTCAGTCAGAACTGTCTGGCCTATCATGACACCATCTTTAAATGCAGTTGCTTGTGTCACTGAATGTCCGGATTCCACAACCAAAGCAGTTTGGATTCCCACATTCTTCAGACAAGCTTCAGCTGTGCTCACACTTTCGACTGTTGCTGATCCTAGATACGTCTTGGCCAATGACTTCATTGCTGCAATCGACGAGTCACTAGCTTTCGGACTCATAGTGATGACAACTTTATCTCCAGGAGTTCCCACATTGAGAACTTCTTTGCATGTATAGTCCCAGACCTGGGCCAGTGGTTCTTCTAACTCTGCAAACCCAAGTTGACATGGGTAGTCGATTATGACACCTGGTGTGTCCAAAGCCTCCTGTCCAAAATAAAGCCACTCGTTTGAATTTGAGCCGTCATTTGGTCTGCCGCAGACGTCGGGAACCACAGCTTGCGGTTCACTGTCACCTGGAACTCATTTTAAAAAAATTAGGTAACAGCGCTTAGATTGCAAAACTCAAACAGCGCCCAAACGTTTAACAAAAGACAGTATTGAAGACGAATCTATCCGTGATAGAATCGTATTTTTTCTATCATTCAAAAAAAATTCGAAAAGTCGTCAGTTAGATTGTAGCGCTATATTTTTCTTTTTTTTCTTTCCTTTCCCTCAGACTTGTTTCATTAATTTTCTAATTAAACGCATTCAAAAAAGAGAAATAAGAACAACTTCTTATTTTTATAAATATGGAGAGAAATTAAAAAAAACTGAAATGGTGCTCAAATTGACACAATGAGCACCAGCATTTGGGACAAGAATTATATCTAGACAAAAAAGAAATGGAGGATGTGTGTGTGCTTGAGCACGGAAGAATGTATTTTTTAAATGTCGAGAATTTACCATTGTTAGCTGTAGCATTCGGGAAAAAATTGGGCGATTTGTTTTTGAAAAACTGTCGACGAAATTAATTTGCTGTTGCGAAACAAAAAAACAGAAATGAGTAAATCTGGGTACCAAATTTACTCTGAAATGAACCAACCAGAATCATATATCAGATGAACCAATCAGAGTCGAAGTATAGAAAATTTTTCAAAAATAGCCGATCGTTGTTTTTCTAAGCCAAGACCAATATAAAAAAAAAACAGCTCAAAAATTCAATTTTATGGCATGTTTTTTGTAGGTTTTGGCCAAAATAGCAAAAAATGTAAAAATGTTGTTTTTCTTAGGCTCACTAGGCTCCAATGGCGGCGAAGGTGTCTTTAAAAAATATTGGTCGGTCTAGCCGAAATTAGATGCTGTAAAATAGAACCAATAGGTAACTCTTTGGTGGTCAGTGGATCAAGTCTTTTTCTTTTTGCTGCAAAATTACTACTGCTTGAAACTGCTCAGCTGCAATTTCGTACCTTGCAAACTTATTCTTGCTCGAAAAATTTTGAGGCCTGAAGGGAAAAAAATAAGGTCGATCTCACCTGCAAATCCAGCCTTGACCAGTCCAGATCCGCTGTCAATCACAATAGTGGTCTGCAAACTAACCTGCAGTAGACAAGCTAAGAGAACCACTCGTACCATTTTTCGAAAAGCCATTTAGAATTGCCACTTATTTGTTTTCGAATTGAATTTAAATGATTAACTGTGTTATTACCATTAGAGCAAAAAATGATGAAAAATACCGAAGTACTGTGTTGTATTTTAAGGGAGGAGTAAAAAAAACTTGAGGAGTTTGATTTTTATTTTAAGAAAACAGATGTTATATTAGATGTCGTTTCTCAACTAGAGCGCCGACTCAGCCTTTTGAAAAGATAAAAACAACAACACAATGAACTTTGATGTTTTGAATACACGCGATAAACATGGACACCAGGAAGTTTGTGATAGTGTAACAGTATCAATGTAGGTACTTATAAACTCGAGTTTTCTTGTTTAATTGGTATTTTTGAACATGGAATTAAGGACAAGTTATCTTCTAGCTCCTCTCTATCTCTCATCGATGGTTGTCAGTTTTTGATGGCAAAACCCTTGAGAGACGACTTTTTTGCTCATGAAAACTGCTTTGTAAGCGAAACAAAAAAGATGACCATTTTTTGTAAGTTAAAATACATAAGATTCTATTCAGGGGCGAATTTAGGGGTGGACGCTTCTTTTCCTCAGGGATTGGACCCCCTGCCGACCCAAAGGGTCCCCCTTTGGTATTTTTTAAGAAATTTGTTTTTGGCCGACCGACCCTAAAACTTTTGTAAAGGCGCCTTTGCCGCCAAAAAATACTATTTTTGAGGGAGAGCGCGCGCCAAAAAAACGCAATTGCTTTGTCAAAATTTTCCAAAAGTTCCCAAAAACGGCTTTTTTACCTGTTTTTTTAAAGAAAATTTGGCCAAAACAGCGTCTTTTTACTGCTTTGGCAGAGCTCGAAAAATAAAAAAAAGGTCGTCAAAATTTCCGAAAATTTTTTGAAAATCCGCCACCCTCTCGAGAAAATCCTAGATCCGCCCCTGATTCTATTGAACAATTAACCCCTAGTTGCCTTTCAAGACAGGGGAGGCCATACTTCAGTAGAATATTTAATAAAATCAAGCGATTTTTTCAACCAATAATACTGCAAGAAAAAGTGAATTGATCAAAAACTAGACTGCTCTTACGGCAACAGCTGCTGCATATAGCAAATGCCATGTCATAAAGGATGAAAACCGCCAGTTAATAAGAGGAGGAGGGTAAAACTGATGTTGCCGATAAGAGGATGGGTTTGATTCATTGTTAGGTACCATGAGGGGGTAATTATTGAATAGAATTTTTGTTTTTAAGATTCTTTGTTAAGCAGATAACCTGCTAGGTAAACTCTTTGTTTTTAAGATTCTCTGTGTAGGTAGATTCATTGTCAAGTAGATAAATTGCTTTTGTATCAGAAACTTTTCAGCAGACAATCGTCAACTTACATAACTCCGATATAAAAGGTCACCATGGGGCAACTAGGCTTAGACATGTGATCCATGAAATCAAGGCTTTCTCAGAACACAAAGCTTTCTCAGAATGGGCTGGATTTTTATTTTTTCAAAAATTAACCAAAATTTCAATGATTTTTTTCATGTCGCCCAAACTGAAAACCTAATTTTTTTCTTTAATTTATTTATATCACAATAATAAATGATGAAATGGTTTACGAATTGAGCACAATACTATAAATATATAAATATTTACCATAAATATTTATTATAAAACTACAAAAGCGCCGTTATTTCGAATGATCACCAAAAAGCTGCAAGCTTATTTTAAGGTGCCATCTGAAAGCAGTTTGGAAAGTGCAAATACCATTTTTTGTTTTTATCCAGTTGAATCATAACAAGTTACAAAAACCTTTTTCTTTGAATTAGAAAAAAAAACTGTAGTTCGAAATCGTAAGAAAAACTGATTGAATTTTTTATGATTTTGTTTCATTGATTGTTACACGTCGAAAAAAGTCAACAAGTTTTACCAAAGAACATTTGCCCAGAGTTCACTATCGTGCAGGAATAAGAGTAGTATAGCTAATTTACACTGGGATCGGGGGGGGTGGGTGTTTTTGACAGTGTTTTTCAATGCTTGTTTAGGAGACTTCTTTTTCATAGCGACATCAATCAGTTCTGGCGCTGCACTCATCAAAAGTTCTTTGCCCAGTTTTTTCGCAGCCGGTAGAATAACCCGTCGTGCAAACGGTATAGCAGCACGACCAATACCAGCAGCCAAAGCGCCAAATCCACCGCCGCGTTGTCGGTAGTGTCCAGAGAAATGAGGAAGTGAAGCTTGCTTTGCATAATATTGTTCCATTGGTTTTCAATCAAAGCGCTTGAATTTTAGAGTCAACAGAACTTTACCAGTTCCTGCAAAGGGCACTAGTCTCCCAGTTTCTGTGCGCAACTGTACCGATTTTGATTGTACAGATGAAGTGAATAATTTTTTGTAGTCTAAATTAGTGATGTTTTTTCGATGATTAGGTTCAATGCTGCAGGCAGTACCGTTTTTGATGCGTCGATTTGAATCAATGACGCGTAACAATGGGGCCTTTGCATCACCAACAGTTTGGTATTGAATAATGTCAATATAGACAAAAATTAGACTTGTACCACTTGATAAGTCATATGGGAAATGAGATTCGTACAGTTCGTTTCCCTCATAAGATGCATCGAAGGAGGGTATCATTTTGTAACCAATGTGATATTCACCGTTCTCATCAAGCTTTGCATTGTAGCCTAACAGACTGGGTATTTGGACTCTTGAGAATGAGATTCCTTCATTTGCATTCATCCAAATGCTCATGCTATTCGTGATTTCTTGAGGACTCGCATCAAAATGAATTTTGTCTTTGAGTTTTGTTTTTATCTCATTAATCAATTGTTCTATAAAAGTGTACTCTCCTGATTTGATAAAAAATTTTTCGCCATAGTAGGGTCTGGAAATTGTATTCCGATTGCCAGCGTTGGATTTACTGGCTACTACTTCGGATGCTCTGAAGTACGTAAATTCCTCATCAGTAACATTGTTTAATTTTGTGGGGAAAATTATTTTTGAGAGAACAACTCTCCAATCTCCGTCTAAAGCTATTTCTTCTTTACAAAAATTTTTAAAACTGGCCAAAGTGTTGTCTGGGAAATAATCCATTGATGCTGTTGAAATCAAATGTACAGTAAACTCATCACTGCCCATTTTCGTTATAATCAGCTTTGTTTCCAATTAAACTAAGTTCTTTTTCATAAAATTTTCCGCTGATTTCTTCCTTTTCCGCATCAATGAGACTGTATGTTGGAGGGTTTACAGTAGGAATGGCAACTACTTCAAAAACTTCGTCTGTGAAAATCTGCTTGTAACCTTTTCTAAAAGGCAAGTCAGTCTTCGCTATTCGCACATAGTCACCAACATAACATTTTGGTTTCTGTACCAACTTCGATGAACTGTTTGCAATTAATGAAACTAAAGCAGGTACATGTTATCTTGTGACCTTGTTTGGAGCCAATTTTGTTACTCTATTAACGCGTGAATTAATTGTTTGAACAAAACTTTGTAATTTTTCAATATAACTGTAAGTCCATTCAAACTCCAAGTACTTTTAGATAATACTTTTCAGCAATCGAATGTTTCTTTCGGTAAACGCTGATTTTTTTTCACTGTGGTATTTTATTTGATGATTTCTCGTTTAATACATAACTTTTCGAACTCTCCTTTAAACTCGGTGCCTTTATCAACCCAACCTTTTTTTGGTTGTTTTGTTTTGATCATTTTTTTGAAAGCTTCGGTTGTTTCCTTAGCATATTTGCTCTTCAGGGGTTCCACTCGTAAGTAGCGAGAGAGACAATTGACAGCAACTAACAAATATCGTACCCCTCGGTTATATTTAGCCAATTTATCAACATAAGCCAAGTCAAGAGACCAAATTTTGTTGATATCGTTAACAATCACTTTTAGCCGAGGATATGCTTTACGAAACAATCCATACTTTGTATGTGATGCTTGAGATCTCCGAAATTTTTAAACTTTTTTGGTGAGAGTTGACTAGCAATTGTTAAATTTTTAACGCTACCAAATGCAGCTGGACCTTTCGTGTAGAGTAATTTTAGTTTCTTTTCTTCACTGTTAGTAGGATTTCCATTCTTTTGTTGACGTCGTCGCAAACGATTCTTTACTGCTTTCATAGTTTTTATCATCGTCGTCATCGTCGTCGTTGGTGGTGGGGAAAAACTCTTTTTTCTGGGTTTTTCTTTTATCGGGTTGCTTGGTGTTGGGTTTGAGAGTTTTCGATCGAGTCTTCGGAGAGGAGGATTTTGATCTCTTCGAGTCCTCAGTTGTCGGGTTGTCGTCGGAGACAAAGGACGAAGAAGTTGAGGGCTTGGCTGCTTCGCTCTTAAGCGAGCGGAGAATCTGTTTGGCATAAGTGTTGGACACTCAGCTAGGATCAAGATTCAGTTCTTTCAAAATTTGTGGATAAAAAACACCCTCAAGTTTTTTTGTGTTTTGCTGTGTATCGTACAAAAAGGATTCAATTTTAACGAGTGTTGGTTTTCCTTGAATTAGAACATATCCGTCAACGTCTAAAGTCAAGGATTCAACTTTGAACAACTGCTTTAGCACTATGTTTGCCCTTTCCAATTTATTAGCTTCCAATAGCTCTTGAATGGATTCCATAACCTTTCGAAACACTTCAGCGGTTTTTTCATTACTTTTTTCATCGTTTTTTTCTATTCTCTTTGAGCTTGTCTGCTGCAGTGAATTGTGTGATTCAAAATTTTTTTCTGCTTCATCATCACCATCACCACTGAAATTAGTAAGTGCAGATAAATTTCTTTTTCGAAGATTTGGTACTACATTACTAGGGCTTAAAGGAATAGGAGATGTTGGGTTTAATGGTGGTGGAGAGTCACGGCTGATATTTCGTTCTCGAAATCGTTGTATGTAATTGAGTTGAGATGATTTGTCGTTAATTAATGGATTATGAAGGATTTGAGATTGTGGTGCAGTTCTTTCATCTGGAGCATATGTTTTTCGAGGAATGAGGATGAATTCATCAGCATACATGCCTGAGGTTCTAGTTTTTCAGGTAAATGTAACACGATTCTCCGATTGATTTAACCAGTGAAATATTGTTTGCCAAAACTTTTCGTTTTTCTCGGATACTAAACTTAGGGTCAACAATTTTTCCAAATGGTATTTTCTTACTCTCGATGAAACTTTTGTTAGCTGGAACATGTCCCAGAAAAACATTCACAAAACAATCGCAAAGAAATC